GGGGGGGGGGGGGGGGGGGGGGGGGGGGGGGGGGGGGGGGGGGGGGGAGAGGAAGGGAGAGAGAATAAAGGAGGAGCCAGGAAGGAAACAGAATGTGTACAACAGCAGGGTTAGGGAGCATAAGAGGAGAGGAGAGTAGAGGAGAGAGGACACTAGGAGTTAGAGGAGAGGAGAGGAGAGAGGACACTGCAGCAGACGTCTCAGAGAAATCTCCAGAATGTCTTTTTGTTTACGAGAGAAACATTCTGCTCTTCTCATCGTCTCACAGGAGTCGATGGAGTCCTCTTCTCCACAGCCAAGAGTGCATGACCTGCATCTGCAAAGCACCTTGTTAAAAATGAATGATCTTCTGAGTGCATGAGTGCAGACTGACACACTCATTCTCACACACACACACACACACACACACACACATGTTCTCTCTCTCGTTCTCTCTCTCTCTCTCGTTCTCTCTCTCTCGTTCTCTCACACACACTCCCCCTCACTCATTCACACACCCTGCGCTGCTCTCACAGAGTTCCTGCAGCACCTGATCACAGAGGATGATGTAGACTAGTCTACTCTACATTGTAGACTAATACAACCACAGGTAGGGGCTTAGTGGATGGAGGCCAGAGTCCTCACATCTCAACAGGGTGGGGCTTCCCTCCAGAGAAGGCTGAGTCAGCGCGGTGTCGCTGTGTCGGGGATTCGGCCTCATAAAGCAGAAGGATGGAGCCGGCTCCTCGGCTCATAACGGGTCCTGAGGGAAATTAGAATGATAAACGGTTCCCAGGACCGCGGCGCAAAATGCATTTAACCTGCAGAGCAGAGAATGCATATCGGCGTCATTATGTGGCTAGTGCTATAAGGGATTACACTAATGCTAAAACAGTTGGTCGATTCGACAGAAAACAGTGTTGAAGTCACAATGAGGATTTCTCATTTGTGGTTTGTAAACGCAATATTCCAAATTGTCTTCTTGTTATTCTGCTTGCCCAGCAGGTGATCGCTCTCGTTTTGTAACGAGCTTTGTCCTTTGCGGCGATATTGTAGGGTTGACTATTGGTGCTTTTACAAAATATTTACACAATTTTGATGAATAATAATCAGTAATGTGGATGTAATGACTAAAACCAGGAAAAGACGACACTTATTACGATCTCACGAAATTAAAGACGATATCTAATCTTCTAGAACGATATTGACATAATATCGACAGTATTGCCCAGCCTTAACTGGCCGCTATGTTTTTATAGAGCTCAACGCCTAGAAATCCCTATTAATTGTGCCTTTTAATTGAATAACTGTTAAAGTTATTTATTAAGCAGAGATGTGAAGGTTCTAGATCAGACACACTGTTTTTTCGAGGCCGATTTGTTTATTTTTTGTCCCTTTTCAAAACTCCCACAACCTTGCTGTGTCATTGATGAATATTCATTGTTCTGGACCCACGTCCGTATTGACGTTCTCATGAAAGATGAAGCACCACCTGCATACCACAACCCCCCCGCCCCGGGACCGACACACACCTATTATGGTTTACATTTATAGCGTTCCCACATGCACATCATCTCCTCAGTGACATTCAGGCGCACATACACACCTCGCCCAAATGTCACCCCTTCACATGCTGTCATTAAGGATGACAGGAGATCTGACGTTGTCACATGAGCAGATCTGAGCCTGTGTTGAAGATCGTGTGCGTGCGTGCGTGCCAGCGTGTGTGTAACAATGTGTGTTTGTCTGTGTCCGCACACATATGTGTGTTTTAGCCGGAGTGAGGGGAATTATAGACGGCTGAGACAGCAGGAAGAAGACGGAATAATAACTGACAGCAGCTCTGAGCTGAAGCGCTGAACAGCATCTCTGGTTCCTCTGGTAGATGAGTGGGGTTTTTTTTAGGGTGGGTGTGCTGTATCAGAGGTTGGATTGACTTGGTCTGAGATTTGATATGAAATAAACACTTGTCTTGAGAAGGAGCAATAAATACATCAAGCTAGCTGTGAGCGATGTGTGAGTCAGTTTTATATGCACCAGTGGAGGCTCCCTGGCTCTGCGCAGCATGTTCTTCTCACTGTGCTCAATGTTTTTAACTTGTTTTTCTTTAAATGAACCAGACTCCTAACTGTCAATTCTGCTGTTTCTGTCTGTTTTTTGCGTCTCCGTGGGTTGTAGATATGTGAACACTTTGCTGAAGCTGGTTCCTCAAGTGCTGGCCCTCCAGGAGCAGCTCAGAGAGGCTGTTCAGAATGGAGACATGGAGACCTGCCACGGCATCTGCCGTATCGCCGTTACACTGGGAGAAAACCACTCCAGGTGTGTGTGTGTGTGTGTGTGTGTGTGTGTGTGTGTGTGTGTGTGTG